TAAGTGGTTTTCTGCTTGAAAAAAGTATCATATATCTTTATAAATGTTGAAAGAAAGAAGCTTCTCTCACCTTTTGCTCTACAAGGTCTTTTTCCACCAGGATCTTTGGTCCCCAGGCCCGGGCATCTCCGATCTGTATTCCAGGGAGCGGGAACTGCTGCAGAAGGCCAGGACAGAGCTGCAGCAGCAGCTGGAGGTGCTGGAGCAGGAAGCGTGGCGACTGCGGAGAGCCAACGTGGAGCTGCAGCTGCAGGGGGACTCTGCTCAGGGGGAGAAGCAGGAGCAGCAGGAGGAGCTGCATATGGCTGTCCGCGAGAGGGAGCGTCTGTGAGTGTGACTGGGCCCCTGTCACCAGGGCCTGGACTTCCCTACCCCATCTCTCTCTCTTAGGAAGTTGAGAGCACATGGTTCATGTTAGCTCGCTGCTTCCTCCTTTGTAGGGAGCTGAGGTAGAAAGTCATCCGAACGTTTCTGAGTCTCTGTAGGGATATGGGGCTGTGAGGGCTACAAAAACGAGTAAAGATGCTGGCCATGATCTCAAGGATCTTGAAATCTAACGAGAAGTCAGACAGGTGGACAGCTGTGACATGATATGGCTGCACAAGAACCCGAGCTTGGTGTTTTAGAAGCACAGGAGCAATAGTTAATATGGAGAACTGGGACAGCTTTATGGAGGAGGGATAGACTTTGAGTGGGGCCTTGACTTGTTTTAATTTATAGGAAAAAGGACCCAGGGAACAGAATAGCAAAGAAAAGGAATAGGAGTTTTGTGGCATGTTCAGAGTTAGCTGGCCGTGAAAAGGTAAGACCGCTGGGAAGTGATAGGAAAATCACTGGTCAGGAAGGGAAGCCAGGGTCATGCCCCGCAGCTAACCTGTAAAGTCCACTAGGTGATGCTGCGGGAAAGAACTGTAGAGCAGGACAAAGGCTTGGTGCACATGGTGGCTTTGCCACCAGGATGGATTAGTCTCTTGGCAAAATGGAGATGATATTTGAAGAGTTATTGGAAAGATGAGCAATTCTTCACAAAATGCTAGCTAGCATAAGGCTGTCAAGATGGCTCATAGTGAGTTCAATCCACTGACCCCATAGATTGTCCTTTGACCTCCAGATGTGTATTGTGGTTCCCTCTGCACACACAAGTAAATTTAATTCATTTCTTGTTTGTTTGTTTGTTTGTTTGTTTGAGACAGGGTCTCATTCTGTAGTCCTGGCCAACCGTGAACTCACTTTTTAATGCCAACAGAGCCCTGGTAGCAGCTCGTTCCTTGGCATGGTCCCTTCCTGTGCCTCATTCCTTGCATCTAGTTAGTAAACAGTGGAAGCTTGAGGAAGCTCGAAGGTCTGCAAAAGGATAGGGTCATGTCATGTGCTGCACTGAAGGCACAGAGGACAATCCACATGGATACATATGTGTTTAAAATGTGATCTATCGCTGGACAGTAGTGGCACGTGCCTTTAATCCCAGCACTCGGGAAGGAGAGACAGGTGGATCTTTGTGACTTTGAGGCAAACTTGGTCTACAGAGTGAGTTCTAGGACAGGCTCCAAAGCTACAGAGAAACCCTGCCTCAAAAACAACAACCAAAAAAAAAAAAAATGTAATCTATCTGACTCAATGTATAGTTAGATAAATCAAAAGTCAAAGCTGTTTAAAAAGATACCAGGGTAAATTGACTCACACCTGCAATTCCAACACTTGGGAAGATTGCTCTGAGTTCAAAGCCAGCTTGGGCTGCAGAGCAAGACCCTGTCACAATAAGCAACAAAAATCCCACCTATTTAAGAAGATGCACATAGGGAGGTCTCCATCTTTGCTTGCTCCGTCCTCCTTCCTGCCTTCTATTGGTCACCGTTTCAGTTAATTTCGTGTTTGTCTTTTTTTTAATGGTTTGTTTAACTTTTATTTTATTTGCATTGGTATGAAGTGTCATATCTTCTGGAACTGGATCTTCAGACAGTTGTGAGCTGCTATGTGGGTGCTGGGAATTGAACCCAGGTCCTCTGGAAGAGCAGTCAGTGCTCTTAACCACTGAGCCATCTCTCCAGCCCCTCGTGTTTGTCTTTCCAGTCCACTTCGTGCAGACAGTCTGCTTCCTCTCACTTTTGCACGAAAGGCAGTACACAACGCACTGCTATGCACTTTGCTCTTCTCACTTGCTGTGTCATAGAGAGCTTTCCTTATTAGTTTTTAGAAGATAATTCCACATTTTTTTAATAGAAAAAATAATTAGACTTCCATGTCCTGTTGGGACACAAACACTCCCAAACACCCCCTAGCTCCCTCTCCTTCCGTCTTAGTCAGGAGACGCTGGTGAGCATGGAAGCCAAACAGTCAGAATCACTTGGTGAGCTGATCACTCTTCGAGAAGCCCTGGAGTCAAGCCGCCTAGAAGGAGAGCTACTGAGGCAAGAGCAAGTGGAAGTGACCGCAGCCTTGGCCAGGGTACGTGCTCTCCCTTGGAAAGTCGTGTTCCCAGTAGAGGGGCTGGATGGCTCATTCTTCACCCTTCAGACTTCAAATCTTCATGTATTTCTCTTGAATCGCTAGTGTGCGTCTGGGTCCTCTCCCTCCCAACATGCCCTCTACATGAGATTCCGTGAGTTTTCTAAAGTATAAATCTGGTTGTGAGTCTCTTAAAGTCACCCCCTGCAGGCTGGAGATGCATACTGCTCTTGCAGAGGACCTGAGTCCACTTCCCAGCACCTACATCAGGCGCTCACAATTGCCTGTCACTCCAGGAGACTCTGATGTCCTCTTCTCAACATCATGGACATAGCACTCATATTTATACATTTATTCATTCACAAGAAAAGAGACACAGAGACATATATATATATATATATATGTATATATATATATATATACATGATTTAAAAATATAAGTCTTTAGCGGGGTGGTGGCGGCTCACGCCTTTAATCCCAGCACTCAGAAGGTAGAGACAGTTGGATCTCTGTGAGTTCAAGCCAGTCTGGTCTACAGAGCAAGTTCCAGGACAGGCTCCAAAGCTACACCGAGAAACCCTGTCTTGAAAAACCAACCAACAAAACAAATTAATTAATTAAAAAATATGTATTATTTTATATATATATATATGTATGTATGTATATATATATATATATATCTTTTAAAAAAATCAATGGCTTCTCAACTCTAGTACCACATTCAATACCCTTTGCCATCTGCTTCAACTATTTCTGGCCTATCTGTGCAAGCCCCCCCCCCACTCCAGGTATCCTTTGCTCTTGCACAAAGCATCAGCTGCATTCTCGGGTCTTCTTCATTCGTGACTGATACACTGGATACACGTTTCCGTCCCCTTGACTCCCAAGCACCATCTCCCTGTCACTGTTCTTTTGTCCCAAGCATTTTCTGCTCTCCCAGACTGGATGAATGCCTCCTTCGAGTTTTCAGTTGTGCTTACACTTTCTGTACTGTCCTGACAATTGTAGTTTGCACACCTTTCTGTGTTTCTGTGCTGTGAGTGCCTTTCTCATGAATGGATGAATGAATGACTGAATACCTTGCTTAGAATGGAAGGGAAGCGATGAATGATATTTTACACATAAAAGCAGGTATTGGAGTGTGTACGGTTTCCTGTCCCCTGAAAGCAGAAAGCACTAACCCTTTTGTTTTTAGGCCGAGCAGTCCATTGCAGATCTGTCAGCTTCTGAGAACAGCCTGAAGGCAGAGGTAGCTGATCTGAGAGCTGCGGCTGCCAAGCTTGGGGCCTTAAATGAGGCTTTGGCTTTAGATAAAGTGGGACTGAACCAGCAGCTTCTCCAGGTGAGCAAAGATTTGATTCCCAGGAGGGGCTGGGCCTTAGTTGATGATTAACCATTAGCAGCTGATGCTGTAATAGGGTGGAGCGGTCTCAGTGAATTAGGCAAAGTTAGGTGAGCTCCCGAATGTAGCTGAAGTGAGCAAAAAGGACACAGAGTGCAGAGGAGAGCAAAAGGTTAGACCTGTGGACCCTCCTCTGTACCTGCAGCAGAAAGGGTTCAGGGCCCTGGGAACAAGATGAAGTGTTTAATCGTATTGGGTGAGGCAGATCTGCTGACTAGCCCAAGTGCCCCCAAATCACCTCTGTTGGTTAAAAATTTAACCTCTCATTTTGGTAGCGAAAACTTCTTGTTTCCCGTTCTCCTGAGACCCAGAAATGTCATTATTGTAGGTATCTTGTTTGTTGAGACCGTGTTTCATGCTACCAAGGCTGTTCTGATCCTCCATCACTTCCCAAGTGCTGGGATCACAGGCTTGCACCACCACCCGGTGTTCCTCTGAATTCTTTGGAAACAAGAGTTTGCCTTTTCGATCTTAATCCCAGCATCAGGCCTGTCTGGTACCTAGAATATAAACACCAGATCACATGGCTGGGTCTCCCCTTAAAAGCAGAGCTGCAGCAGCGCAGGGAACGAACTGTAACCACTTAGCTCTGGTGTGCCGCACTCCCTTCTCTCTCTGGCCAGTAGTTGGAGCAGGAGAACCAGTCTGTGTGCGGCAGAGTGGAGGCGGCAGAGCACCTGAGAAGTGCCCTCCAGGTGGACCTGGCAGAGGCAGAAAGGTGCAGGGAAGCCCTGTGGGAGAAGAAAACTCAGCTGCAGGCTCAGCTGCAGAAGGCAGAGGAGACAGGGGCTGAACTGCAGGCAGAACTGAAGAGTGTTCGAGAAGAAAAGGAAGAACTTAAAGAGAAGTTAAGCGAGGTGAGAACACAGCATGTTGTCAGTGTTTGGTTCAGACATCTACAGTCTCATGCTATAATACTTGTTTGCTGTCCTTAAAGGCCAGTCTCTATTGTTTGCTTGTTTATTTTCATCTTTTGAGACAGAGTCTAACTCTGTAGTCCTTACTGGCCTGGGATTCATTATATAGACCAGGCAGGCCTCAAAGTTGCAGTGTTCCCTCTGCCTCCTGAGTGCTAAGATTATTAGCCACTGTGTCCAGCTAAGGCTGTCTCTCTCTTTTTGTTTAGTGTTCTGAGACAGGGTCTGTCTGTTGCTTTGTTTTGTTGGTTTTGGTTTTTTTTTTTTTTTCTTTGACTGTGAGTTTGTGGGGATATGGCCCTCCCTAGTGGGAAAGCATGGCAGCTGATGTCTATATGGTGGCCAGGGTTTGTGGCAGCTACTTGCTTACATCTTAGCCACCAGGAGGCAGAGAAGGGGAATTGAAGTGTCTGCTGGGCTTTTCCCCCTTTTAATTGAATCTGAGACTCCAGCCCATGGGATGATGCCATCTATATTCAGATGGTTTTCCTTCTATTAACGCCCTCAGAGACACACCTCTGGGTGAGTCTATGGTGGTCATGCACTTATATTTCTGGAGTTACAGACAGTTGTGAGCTGCCATGTGGGTGCTGGGAATAGAACCCAGGTCCTCTGGAAGAGAAGTCAGTTCTCTTAACCACTGAGCCATCTCTCCAACCCCCTCCTAGGTGATTCTAAATCACCAAACTGACAATGAAAGTTAATGATGACAGTCTTGCTTTTCCTACCGAACCTTTCATTGTCCTAATACTTGAACATAATCCCTTTCTTAAGAGTCCCTTCTCAGATATTAACCAGGTTCCTGGTGTATATATGGGTCCTGCTGTCCCCAGCAGAGTCTCACTCATAGGAGAGCATCCTTTTTGCCCTAGGCCTCCTGATCAAGGAAATAAACAAATACCAGTTATTCCTGAGTCAGCAATGTCAAGTGCTGAGCCCAGAATCTTCAAAGACCCCTCGCCCTGACCTGCTGGCAGCCGCCCTGGGCTCTGCCTCACTCTGTAGCTCCTCGTTCTCCTCAGGTGCATCACCAGCAAGAAGCAGCCGCAGCTCAGCTAGAGCAGCTGCATCAGAATGCAGAGCGACAGGAAGAAACACTTGCTAGAGCAGTCCAGGAGAAGGAGGCCCTCGTCCGGGAGAGGGCAGCTCTTGAGGTGCGCCTGCAGGCTGTGGAGCGGGACCGACATGACCTCGCTGAACAAGTTCTGGGGCTCAGGTAGGGTCCACACTGGCTCAGGCAAGCACAGGGAGCTTTGCAAGGCTAAGCAGAGCTCCCTGTCCTAAGAGTATGAATTCTCAATGAGCTGTAGACGTGCAGTTGCCCCATAACTTCCTGTAGCCTGTACTGCTCCAGTCGCTCCTGAGAAAGGGTAAGGGGCTTGATGGCTTAGAACTCTTCCTGATTCCCAAATCTCAGGTCAGCCAAGGAACAGCTGGAGAGCAATCTCTTTGAAGCCCAACAGCAAAATTCTGTGATTGAGGTCACCAAGGGGCAACTGGAGATCCAGATTCAAACTATTACTCAAGCCAAGGAAGTCATTCAAGGTGAGAGCCCACTGGGGTGGAGCACGCTGTTTTCCATGGTGATGTTATCAGCCAGGAAGGCAATGGGAGCTTTCTCCTACCAGACTCAGGGCCTCTGAGATGGAAGTTGCTCACGAGGTGGGCGGGCAGAGAGAGTATTATCAGGTAAATGGCATGCGGCAGAGGCTCAGGGGTGATCTTGCCTGCCATCCTAGGGGAAGTGAAGTGCCTGAAGCTGGAACTGGATGCCGAGAGGAACCGGGCAGAGCAGGAGCGGGATGCAGTAGCCAGGCAGCTGGCCCAAGCTGAACAAGAGGGGCAGGCAGCTCTGGAGCGACAGAAGGTGGCCCACGAGGAGGAAGTGAACAGGCTCCAAGAGAAATGGGTAGGTGACGGATGTGGTTGGGGATAGGAGAGGCAGACACGGCCTCCCTTCAGTGAGTCTGTCATCTGCTGCCTCTTGGTCCAGTTACTGCTGCTTAGAAGAATGAAATTTGGTCACCAAAGTATAAAATCCAGTTTTAGAATCCTCAATCCCAGAATGCCTGTCTCTCTCTCTACTTCAGCCGCTGTTTTCTGAGACAGGGTACCTCCTCGTGGCCTAGCGGGCCTCAGACTTGAACAGCTTCTAGCTATTAAGTAAATTAACATGAAAAATACTAAGATTAGTTCTTGGCATAGTGTGAGCCCCGTATTTGTAAGTTCTCTCTCTCTCTCTCTCTCTCTCTCTCTCTCTCTCTCTCTCTCTCTGTGTGTGTGTGTGTGTGTGTGTGTGTGTTGCTTGTTTGCTTGCTTGGTATGTATAAAGAATTAAGCGTGGACCATGGAAGCAGCCGTAGTAGAGCCCAACTATAATCCCAGCATTCAGGAGGCTTGTGGGTTTCTGGGTTCAAGGCTATCTGTGTTACCAAGGGATACCCTTTTTCAAAACGCAGAGAGACTTCCAGAAGTGATGGAGCATGCCTTTAATCCCAGCACTGGGGAGGCAGAGGCAGGTGGATCTCTGAGTTTGAGGCCACAGAGTGAGTTCCAGGACAGGATTACTTAGTGAGGCCCTCTCTAAAAAGTTATTTAAATTTGGGCTGGAGAGATGGCTCAGAGATTAAGATCTCTGCTACTCTTCCAGAGATCCTGAGTTCAATTCTCAGCAACCACATGGTGGCTCACAACCATGTATAGTGAGATCTGGTGCCCTATTATGACATACAGGCAGAACACTGTATACATAATCAATAAATAAATCTTTAAGAAAATTATATTTAAATTTAAAAAAAGTTGTAAGAGAGCAGTCTATCTTTTAATCATCAGGAAGATTGGGGGGATGTCACAAGGGGGGGATATCTAAGTGTGGAAAGGAAAAGAGAAGGGACCACCATGACAGTTAGTCCTTCCAGGGAAACTGAGGCCGTTAGCTCATGAGAGGTTTATAATATCTTTTACTTTGGAGTTTTTAGTGGGTATTACGCCTGATTCTTAGTAGAGGAACCTTGTGGACACTGTCCAACAACTGTCTTCAAGCGCCCACTGTCATCTAGGCACATAATTCTAGAAGTGGGCGGATCTTGCCAGCAAACTTGCCTTAAAGCCCTAGCCAAGGGGCTAGAGAGGTTGGTGGTTAGAGAGTGTGCCGCTCTCAAGAGGGCCTGCGCCGGCTCCTCGCACCCACTTCAGGTGATTCACGGTTGTTTGAAAGCCAGCTCTAGAGGTCCTAAAGCCTTCCCTACTCTCTGTGTGTACACACTTATGTGTCATACATACACACATAAAAATAAATACTTAAAAACAAGTAACCAATAGTCAAAAGCCATATGTGGTACTTAGAGCATGCCTGTAATCTGGAACCCAGGAGGCAGGTTCTGTTCTTCCAGCAGACCCATGTTTGGTTCCCAGCACCTACAAGATCAAGCCAGTTAAAAATCCCAGCATGGAGGAAGGAGGGGCTCCTGAGGCCAAACTTAGAAATTACAAGCTTAGGAATTACTAGCACTTGATGACTTTGAAAGTTGGTTCTCCTTCCAGTATGGGTTCTGAGGGTGGGACTCAAGTCCTCAAGCGGATGCAGCCAGTTCTTTTACTTTCTGAGCTACCTTGCTGGCCCAGAATGTGGCACTTTGAGTAGCAAAATATTCTGGCCACAGTCTAACCAGCAGTGGTAGACTACCGCTTCCGGTTTTGACATCACAGAATGGAGCAAATAGCTTCATATTTTTTTTAGGTTTTTTTAAAATATTTGTTACCATTAAAATTCATCTTTCATATATGTTTGCAGTTGGCTTTTTGAACCCAAATGTAAGGTTTGTCATTTACAATGGTCCTGTGATTGGCATTCTATACTACTGTTCTACGTTTTTGTTTTTGTTTTGTTTTTCAAGAACAGGATTTCTCTGTGTAACAGCCTGGCTATCCTGGAACTCATGTTGTAGACCAAGCTGGCCTCGAACTCACAGAGATCCACCTGCCCCTACCTCCTGAGTGCTGGGATTAAAGGTGTTGCACCACCACTGTCTGGCCTATACATCATTTTTTAAAAAAATAAATCTCACTTGACCCTTAAATTTTAGTGAGACTGATAAGGCCGGGGTTACTGAGCCTCCCTTCAGAAATGTTCAGCAAGCTGACAGCTGTCCCTAAGTCACATGAGGCAGTGCAGAGATTTGAACTCCAAACAAGCTCTCCTGCCTCCTCTGCTCACCCTCTGCTTCTAACAGTGTGGCTTCCTTCACATGGTCAGGAGAAAGAGCGCTGCTTGCTTCAGCAGGAGCTGGATAAGACCCTGGAGACCCTAGAAAGGGAGAGAACAGAGCTGGAAGCGAGGCTGAGAGAGCAACAGACAGAAACCGAAGCTCTCCGCGCCCAGAGGGACGAGGAACGAACCCAGGCTGACAGCGCCCTGTACCAAGTAAGCAGCTGGAGTATTAGGATCGCCACCTGTGATTCCCCCAGTCTTCCCACTTTCCTGTTCCTAACAGCAGGCTCCGGCGGGGCTTCCTGAAGGGAGTGTAGCTCCCACTGCGCTGCTCATGAGTGGGCTAATGGCAGTTAGCTGCAGCAGGCAGTATGTCATACTTCCTGAGGGAGGGCCAGCGTTTACCACATCCTGTGTGCTTGCAAACCAGTGGCAATCTTGGCACTTCCTGGTTCTGCGTTAATGACCTGGACTTTCCTTTGCCCCGAGCCCCCATCCTATTTGTTGGAAAAACTTGGAGCAGGTGTGATAGGCTTATGGCCTCCCGGGTCAGCATGATAATCCGGAGCCATGAAACCCTTGCCCTTCCTGCCTGTCCACAGATGCAGCTAGAAACAGAGAAGGAGAGAGTGTCCCTGCTGGAGACGCTGCTGCAGACGCAGAAGGAGTTGGCAGATGCTACTCAGCAGCTGGAGAGGCTGAGGCAGGACATGAAGGTTCAGAAGTTACGGGAGCAGGTATGGAAGGTGTTCCTGGGTCTGGTCCTTCTGCCTCCTCCTAAATGTCAGGTTTATGGGTGTGAACCACAAGACACAGTTTTATGTATTGTTAAGGACTGAACCTCAGGACTTGCTAGGAGGAGGCAGTTTTAGTTGTTTTTTTATTCTGTGTGTATGTGTATATGTGTGTGCACGTGGCATGACATGCATATGGAATTCAACTTGCAGGAGTTGGTTCCTTCCTTCCACCCTATAGGACCCTGGCATTGACCTCAGGCTACTGCACTTGGCAGCAAGCACCTGTACCCACTGAGGGTAGTTTTTGAAGAACACAATATGCACACGATTTCACTGTCATAGGGCTCTGTAATAGACAGAAAGAGGCTTGGGAAATTCAAGGACAAAAAGAGGTGTGTGGCTCTAGTGGGTAAACTCGGGGATAGTACAGGAGGGAGGGGAGGGGATGAGAGGGGCCTCTCTAGCCATAGCAGGAACTCGGGTTTCGTTTTGAGGCCAGTGGAAAACTGGTGACTGGTATTTTAAGAGCAGGGAGAACACGTGGTTTTTTTTTTAAAGATTTATTTATTTTTATGTTATGTGTATGAGTGTTGTACTTACGTGTATGTGTGTATATACCATGTGCATGCCTAGTACTTGCAGAGGCCAGAAGAGGATGTCAGAGCCCCTGTAACTGGAGTTACAGACAGTTATGAGCCACCACGTGGGTACTGGGAATTGAACCTGGGTATTCTGCAAGAGCAAAGTGCTCTTAACCAGTCACCATTTCTCTAATCCCAGTGATACATCATTTTATGTATTTCTATATACATATTTAAGTATTTATTCTTTTATTATCATTATCTTTCTGTAGTTCTGGGGATCAAACCTGGAGCCTTGTACATGTTAGGCAAATGTTCAGCTACTAAATTACAATGCCAGCCTAGAATATCTTTTTGAGGCATGGTCTCTATATTATGTAGCTGCCACCTGCCTCTGCCTCCCTAGTGCTGGCATTAAAGGCATGTGCCACCTTGCCTAGCCAGGATATCTTTTAATACAGTACTTGACTAAGTGGAAGTATGTGCATGTGTGTATGCAATCAAATGAAAGGAGGGGTGTGTTCAGGAGGCTGTTAGGGGTCTGGGTTAGCCTAAGTCACAAACTTAGGCTGTCCAAAAGGTTGACTGAGCCCATGCAGTCATGTGGAAGAAGGAGAAATAGAATGTGAGAATAGAGGGGGAAACTATGCATTATTAGTTCCTGCCTCAGCTTTACCAACTCAGTAGGAACAAATGGTGTTTATACACCGCAGATCTGGGGAGCTAGCTCATGTGGAAGCTTTTCTGCACTCACTGAACCTTTCTCTCTGCAGGAGATCAGCAACATGCTGCAGACCCAGCTCCAGGGAGCACAGCAGGAGCTGAAGGAGGCTGCCCAGCAGCATAGGGAAGAGTGTGCCGCCTTCCAGAAGGACAGGGTAGATCTGCAGAAGCAGGTCCGTCCTTTCTACCTGCCCCACAGCCCTTCCCACCCCAGCCAACCCCTGGAGGACAAGGACAGGCTGCAGAAATAAGTGCAGAGTTGAAGGGTGTTCAGAGCTGAGCATGTGCCTCTCAGAGTTCTGGGATTGTATTATTGGCACTTTTTGTCCACAGATTCTACCAACAGCCAACTGAAAATATTGGGAGGGCATTGTACTGTAAATATACAGACCTTTTCTTGTTCATTAAGTAATGTATAACAACTATTTACATAGTGTTTACATTGCATTAGGTATTGTTTACATTGTATTCAATATGATAAGTAATATGGAACTTATTTAAAATGTATAGGAGAATGTGAATAAATTATAGTCAAATACTATATAGTTTAATCCCAGCACTTAAGAGGTTGAGGCAGGAGGACTGTTGAGTTTGAAGTCAATCCAAACTGCATAGGGGGTTTCTGTCTCTAAAACAAGAACAGGCTAGGAAGCTGGCTCAGTTAATACAGTGTCTGCTGCACGTACATAGGGGTCTGAGTCAGATTCCCAGCCCCCATGTGAAAAGCTGGGTCCGTGACATGTGCTGAAAATACTAGGGCTGAAGAGGCAGAGACGGGGTTCCCTGGAGCCCACCTACCAGCTAGTCTGCTGAAAGTAAACATCAGGTTTAGGAAGAAAAAAAACCTGCCTCCAAAAAGAAGAGTGGGAATGATAGAGGAAGACTCACATTAACCTCTCCCTCCATACACACACACATTTGCATTCATATGCACACACACACACACACACACACACCATATTTACAGAGCAAAGATACCGCTATATTTAACTGTTTGTATAAACTTCTGCAAATTTGGATATCCAGAGGAGATGTTACAGGATACTGGGACTACTGTTATCTTGGTCTGGAGTGACCATAAGCAGACATCTCAGGCAAGCCAGTGTCAGCTGTCCTTCCTGTCCTCACCTAAACCTGTATTACCACATGACTTGCTTCTCAGAGACCAATAGCAGAGGATGTTCTAAGTTTTTATTTTTAAAAAAGTGTGTGTGTGTATGGTCACTGTGGTCTTGCCCATCACTTTGCCTTTTGGTATTGTTGTGTTCAGCCAAGATTCTTATTTGTGTCTGCATTTATATAGCATTTATAAGGCTGTGGAGACAAACAGGCTGAAGGGTTTGGGAGAAGAGAATGATTACAAACAGGGTATGAAGCCAGGTGTTGGTGGCACCTTTGATCCCAGCACTCAAGAGGCAGAGGTAGGCAGATCTCTGAGTTTGAGGACAGCCTGATCTATAGAGCAAGTTCCAGGACAGCCAGACTGTAAAGAGAAATCCTGTCTTTTTTTTTTTTTAAGGAAAAGAAAGGAAAAGAATGGTGTGTGTGTGCACGCGTGCAGTTAGATAGTTCAGAACGAACTCCTACCAATTGTCTACTGACCTCCACAAGCATGTCATAGCATGTATTTGAGTGTTTGCATACACAGTAAATGTAAAAAAGAAAACAAGGTAGTGTAGGGACTAGTGAAACCTCCAGAATGTGGAGACAGGCCTCTGCCTAGGGTGCTGTAGGAGCCTGAAGCCCTAGGTGGAAGCGTCTTCCCACCCTGGGCTTTGCCATCTCAGCCTCTTGCTCATAACCTTCCAGGTAGAGGACTTGAAGTCTCAGCTGGTAACCCAGGATGACTCCCACAGACTGGTGAGGCAGGAGATTCAAGAGAAGGTGAAAGAAGCTCAGGAATGTAGCCGGATTCAGAAGGAACTGGAGAAAGAAAAAGCCAGGTACGCTGGAAAGCCAGAGGGGTGGCTTGCCTTCCATGCGGTAGTCACAGTGGCACTGGCTCTTCTGCACAAGGTTACCTCCCCATGTCTCACTCTGGTTACACTTGGAGCCGTCGAGAGTGGACATGGTCTCTGCTTTAAATCTTACACTTGTTTTATTTCATACATGTTTAGAGAAGACCTTTTATGCACCATTGTTGTATGACAATGTGAACCCTACCCCAATAGAAGTTATGTTCTGTGGGGAAATTTTTAATCGAACAATTTTTTAAATAAATTGCTACAGATTATTACATATGGTATGGAGGAAAGAAATAAGGTGCTACTAGAAAGAGAGAAAACTGCTTTAGAGAGGTATATGGAAAAATCTTTCCCTGGAAGTTGCGTTTAAACTAAATGCGAAACCAGACAAGATGGTCCACAGCTTTAACCACACAGGAGGCAGAGGCGGGCAGATCTCTGAGGCTGGCCACGGGTACAGAGTGAGTACCAGGACACCCTGGGTTACACAGAGAAACCTTATCTTAAAAAACAACAACAATAAAAAATTTTAAAACATGAAAATAAATTGAATACTAGGGCCGGTGAGATGGTTCAGCTGGCATGGATGCTTGCTGCCAAGCCTGTGACCTGAGCCCAGTCTACAGGAGCCACACAATGAAAGGAGAGGACCCACTCCTGAGGGTTGTCCTTTGACCTCCATATGCCCCCTCAACACACACAGTAAATAAACAAACAGAATGCTAAACAATGAAACAGAGCCACCCACACAATCTAGGAAGAGCAGAAGGCCTGAGGCAACGCAAGCATTCAGTGTTTGGTGAAGCCACAGTGTGGTATGGCCGTGTTTGCTAAAGTCCACAGGAAGGAGCTTGTAGGCTACATTTAGCAAAAACTGTAAGGATTTCAAGTAAGGAAATCAACATAGTCAGATTTCTGATGTGTTGGAAGAGACTGAAATGGCCTGAAACATGGAGTGGCATGAGCCCATTCAGAATGGGAAGTAGCATACACTCGGTGCCCCAGGGATCTGAGAAGGGGTGGATCTCTTTGCTAGTGACAACTGCGTCCTAAAAACAAGTCAGGAGACTGGTGTAGGTGTCCAAATGAGAGTTGGCAAGAAAGTAGAAGGGATGGGAAGAAGAGAGGAGCTTAAGATACATTATTGACTTAATCCAGTTATATACAGTTACAGATTGGATGTGGGTAGGATGAAGAGAAGCTGGAATGGTCATGGCTTCCATGCTGTGACTGTAAGTGAAAGAGCCATTCCCAGAGCCGGGGGCAGAGAGTGATGATTGGGTGGGGAGTTGGGAACACAGAGGAATGGGAATATAGTGAATTTGAAATATATTATATGTGTA